GACGTTGGAAATCTTTATTTCTCAATTAATCAAGTTTTCTCATGTCTTTTATTTTTGCCTCATTTGGTAAGGCCGCCTCCTCCTTCCTTTGGAGGGCAGTATTTTCCAACCTCAGACTATATTGTTTTGTTTTTGTTTTTTGCTTTGTTTTGCTTCATTGCATCGTGTTGGCACGATGGTCGTAGTTTGTGATTTAGTTTGATTCACTTGAATTAAATTGTGGCATTTTTTGCATTTTGTGTCAACTTTCTACCGCCAACTGCATGGTTTTAGCCGACGGCATTATAAAAGTTCAAAACTGTGGGATGGAGAAGGTGATTAACGGTGAGGTGGCAATCGCTACAGCGTGAGGGTGGGTTTTTTTGGCGCCAGTTCAGTCGTTGGTGTTGGATTGGGCTGCGTTAGGGTGGGTAAGGCGAGATTGGAATGCGAGACGCCATAGAGGCAGCAGACGTTGGCAAAGCAAATGGAAAAAATAAATTAAACTGTCTATTAATATGTCCTTTTTAAATGCAAATGTGGAGTTTTTGTATTTTTAATTAAATGGACCAATCAGTTGCACAGATGCTCAAGACTTTTCTTTTTGTTTAAATCAGTCTTTCTTTCATCCTTCCTCGTCCTCCTCCTCCTCCTCGTCCTCCTCCTCCTTCTCGTCCTCCTCCTCGTCCTCGTCCTCCTCCTCCACCTCCTTCTCGTCCTCCTCCTCGTCCTCGTCCTCGTCCTCGTCCTCGTCCTCCTCCTCCTCCTCATCTTCCCCCTTCACCTTGCCCTTACTAACAAGATAAAGGACAAAATTCCACGACGCCTTCCCATTAGCCCAACTTCGTCTTCATCACGTTTTCTACACACCCATCACCCTCCTCCTCCGCCCTCGTTGTGTGTCTTAGTGTTGTCCATTTTTTTTCTTTTGAAATTAATTGGGGAAAAAAATGATTGATGCTTGTCTTGAGTTGTTTTAATGTTGGCGGCATGTTCTTCCTCCTCTACCAATGGGCATTCATACGATGTCCGCCAAGTCTGCAAACATTCCCACCTATGCACCCCCACACCCTGACCTTACACTACAACCTTCAGCACCTTCAAAATCGTGGAAATTAATCCCCGCATTCAACTTCCACGTCACATTAACTGACCAGTTGAGTGACCGAAAATGGGATTTGATGTGCCCACTCACTACTGCCTTTCAAAAAGGCGTCAAGTTGCTTC